CTGAATAAATTCATTTTATAGTACCTACCTTCATTTTATATTATTAGTAATCGTAATAATATGCCATATTGTACTATACAACCAGATATACGACAAAGCCTTCCGACCATCCTGCGCTCTTACCGAGACATTTCAAAACGGTTTACGGATGATGCAGTTGCAAATAGTCGACTCGTCTTACTTCGTTGTGATTGTGCGCTCCCTGCTACTTAATTGATTTTTATCTAACACGCTTTGGATGTTGGAACACGATTATCGGTTTTGTCAATAAGTATGGATGAACTGGAATTATGTGTTCTCCGAAGCGTGGACAAGTTTGTGTAATCTGTGGTCGCTCCCTTTTACATAGAAGATATGTAAAACGGAAAATTTACTATAACGAACAGAATGTTTAAAAAAACCCAACCCATGCGGGGATATTTGAATTTACTCTAGCGCGGCAGAATAACATAAGGGGTCACCCTTGCACCTCGTGAAGTACTCCCATAATTCATGAGCACCCTATGTAGAGTCGAACTAACTAACTAAATTAATTCCCTTGTTTCATTAACGTTTGTTCGTTATAGTACTTGTACACATTTAACTTAAAATAACTAAAGACCCCCGGAATGGAATTTGATGCGCTTTGGCACAGATGATCTTGACTATAATACCTTTCAAACAAATGTAGTTTAAGCCGTGGCGGACGTGGGTGCAGCGTCCATACATTTTTGCCCAATGTCCTTTGTTCCCATGATTATTTCCATTGTCATAGTACTTTTCATACACGATCAAACATATAAAAGTCAACAAGGAACATTGTACACAGGCGTGGCGGTGGTCCGCGGTCGCGCAGCCCGTTGCGCGGGCGCCGTGTCGCCGCCGCCGCGCGCGCATCCACAGCTCTACACCACGGAACCCGGCAAGAGGAACGGCAAGACGCTCACGCCGCCTGACAGTAAGTCTATCATAACATCGGGGGGCACGGTAATGCCCCCGCCAAGTCGAGCTCAAAGCAAACACTGCCGTTCCATCCTTTACTGGAACCATTTCGCCGCATTTTCAGGCTCCTATTTGAGAACCTTTCGATAAAACAGAAACGCAGAAATTTTCTTCATCCAGTAAGCTATAATCACATACTTGAAATCCAAAATTTCAAGTATGCGTGTCCTTTAGTTCTGAAGTTAAGCGACAGCAAAGTTTCGCATTTATGACACTCTCTCACTCACGCCAAGTCTAAGGTTCTTTACTGCGATTTCTTCATTATTATAGTTAATGTGGTGTGACTTGGCCGTTGAAGGGTACACAAGGGTACAAAACCAGGTGCTACATGACTATTATAATAATGAACTTTTAAAGAAATTGGCACGATTTTGTCTACATTTCATTACTTTTTAGAGATAAACAAGCAGCTCCATCGAGACTTGGCTAGTTTTTTACAGAATGTTTTTGGTGGAATTATGTATTCATTATAATGGTTGCTTTAATAGCATTGATCTGTTCAAATGTGCAATCAACGAAGAAGGGATTGTCGTTAAACAATTTTCTATACTCCTTTTGTTGGATTTCATATTTTGCGGGCTTTTAATAATTTTATTATAGGGTAGTTTATGCACTTGCAATTGCCTTAATCCAATCTGTCTTCCATTTTTTTCATACATGTGCACTTTTAGCTATGACTGCGAATGCGATTCAACTAAGAATAGGACCGACTGGGCGCCATATTGTGACGCCATAGCTGTCAATTCAAACCAAACAGGTAGAGTGAGCAAAAAAAAGTTTTATTTAATAAAACTTATTTGCTAAGATTAAGTGAGAAAAAACGTCAGACTTTTTAATAAAATTTATTCACTACGATTGAATAAAATTAACAACCGATTTTTAATAATATTTGTTTATTAAAACTGTGTGAGAAAAGCCATAAATCAGAATCTAGTTCTTCAATTCCGCTCATCTCCGCATTGCCGCCGGAGTAGTTATGAATAATCATGCACTATTACTAGGTCACATACGAACATGTATGTTTTATGTAAACGAAAGTTTTAAATCGAGTTTATGAACTAACCACAATTACAAAACGCACGTTTAAGCACGGCTAACTGCATAAAAAACAATTCACGCCGTTCAGTCGTCGCTGCGGCGCATTCGCAACTGGGTGTCCTCCGAGATTCCCCCGAACTCGAGTGGCGTAGGTATGATTCGCTTTCCGACCGTTTGTATGAAGATAGAATACTGTATATATTATTACCGTGCCTCCACTTTTTAAATTATTACGCCCGATCGAGGTCCTCAACATACCTTTTGAAGTTTACTCCTTAAGAATCGATTTGCATATATAAAGGGCCCGGTATGAGAAAAATGTGAGGAGTGAAATCTATCGATGAATGACCTCGTTACGTTTTTACTGTCTACGCTGTAGCAGCCGTAGTGCTGCACCGTAGCACAGTATCGTAGCGTACCTTTATTTATGCACATCTGAAATTGACTATTGTAAAAAGTTTAATGTAAAATATTTCGTCGATCAGTTATAATAAATGTATATGAAATGAATAAATATATATTATTTTCATTAATTTACCTTTTCATACAGTATCAATCTTTTTTAAGGTAAATAAACTCTTTTTGCGTCTGGGTAGACAGACTATCGAACTTAAGAAGTAAACTCCAGTCGTGCGTCGGAGCTGACACACACAATTTTTTGATGCAGACGAGCTACACGAGATCAGTCCGTACGCGACGTTCAGCATGGCGGGTGGGTGCACGGGCGCGGGGTCAGGCCCGGGGTCGGGCGCGGGCGCGGGGTCGGGGTCGGGGTCGGGTGGGTGCGCGCTACACCTGCGGACGTTCGGGCGCGCGGAGGCACTGGACTTGGCCGCGCCACCGCCGCGGCCCAATCTACTCGCGCACGCCAACGGTAACCTACACATTCACAACTGTTTATTAACAAACATTGTGAATGCAGCATGTACTCTAGCACCCTTGTTACTTTAAATAAATTGTAATTCATTTATTTTATTATAAGAAGTAATTTTCAACATTATTTGTGGCATTGGCATTTTAGGATAGGTGTATATGTAATAAATATCCAAACTAAATTAGGTAAATATATAGGCATTGTTTTTGTAGAAAGATTTAAATTGATTTATGATTAAAAATGAGTGCATTTTTCGCCAATAAACTGTTAATCAGTTTGGCGAAATTATAAAGGGTAGTTAATAGTTTAAAATTATAGTTGATAAATAATTTAAAAAAAAATAAAAAAAAACTTTTTAGAATTTCACTTTTGAACTAGAGTCTAGACTAGTCTGGAAAAGCAACCTCCGACCGAAGAAGATCACTGTGAAAATAACATTACCTTTTGAGGGTGTTGTGTTCCAGGACTCCACGGAGTAGGAGCGTATCGGGTCGGTAGGTAACGGTGCGAATGACATTTTTGTATCGAATGCCTCTATAGCAGGGATGCACGGACTTATTGAGACTAGGGGCCACTCAGGCAAATCTTGAACTGATGGCAGGCCACCAGAAGTATAATAATTCGTTAATGTGAAGCGTGGCACTGCATAGTGCTTACAATCTTTTTTTATATTTGGCTCAAATTTATTTGTAGCAACGCGTAAAACTGATTCCAAACTTTCATTTGCAAGGCGGTTTCGTTTTTTTGTTTTATTATTATTTAGTTTTGAAAAAGTTTGTTCACATATATAGGTAAACCAAATAAGCTGGCACATTTCAGAGCGTTTATGCTAATTATTTTTGGTGTCGGCGGGTCACCAGTATTCGACCGGCGGACCGCGGTCTGTGCATCCATGCTCTATAGGCTATGGTGACCGCTTCCTATCAGGCGGGCCATAAACTTGTATGCCATACTTTGCAACCGACGAAAAAAAACGGAAGAGGTTAAGTCGACGCATATATTTTTTTATAAATGATTAGGCATAACATTTTACAAAGATGTCTGATTTTAAAAATCGTTTTTTTATTAGAAAGTAGTATATACTTTTAGAAGTAGGACCTACATTAATAAAGCGTGAAGAATGTTGGGTTTTTGAAATGGATTTGCAGGGATTTTCATTATTCAACTTCAATTTTGTGCTTGTACAATTCTCTCGTTCATACTGTTTTGCAATAAAGAAATAATAGAACGAATCCAGCGTCAGTTCACAAAATTTTTGGCATTCAAAAGTCGTAACTATCCTTGCCGCGCAAATTATGAAAATCGCCTGAAACATTTGAAAATTGACACTCTGGAGAAACGAAGAAAATGTGCCGACATCTTGTTGCTTCATAAGTTGGTTAATGGAAATCTTATGCTGCCATGCATCTAATATGCCTGATATGCTTGCTGAAATTAATTTCACAGTTCCAAGAAGAATTCCACGTTATCCAATCTTGCCATTTACGGTTTTTCCGAACCAAGATAGTAGCACCCCTAAGTCGATTGATGGAGACAGGTAACGATAAATCGGATGACATTGATATCTGTCACCTATCTTTCTCCGCATTGAAAAATATTTTCGATTGAGTAACAAATACTAGAGGTGTTTGTTACTAAATCGAAAATATTTTAGTAACAAGAGGTAACTTACCTCATATAGATATTTGAAGAATAACTTTAGAGGCTAATATTGTCCAAAAAAATGTATGGAAATTGCTGTATGCACCTTAAAAAATAATTCACATAGACTTGTAATAACCATTTGTTTTTCTTTTTATGTAATATTTATGATATTGTTATTGGTGTGTCAAATAAAATAAATAAATAAAAATATAAAATTGGAAAAAAAACTTATTTTTTGTATACTTCTTTATGGACACATGTAAAATCCTCACTTTACATGTAAGTGATTTTTTTTTCATTGTCTAAACCATCGTGTGGGTCATCGTTGAATCCTTTAAAACGACTTAGTGGTTGCTAAGCCTATTTTTCGATTTAGGCATCTGCTTGTGAAGTTTAAACTAGTGGACAAAACTAGTAAACTAGTGGTTCCAAAATATACTTATATGTATGAAAAATTTAGGTCATGCTATCAGGTTTCTAGACTAAACCGAGAAAATATCAAATATAAACTCCAACAGCATTTTATTGACAAACTCTCAAATACATCCAATAATTGACCTCATAAAATACTATAAATACAAGTATTTCCTAATCAGCATTATCATTACGCATCGAATATTGGGTAATGGTGAATTATTAACAAATAATATTAAATATATGAATAACATAATTAATTACATATTCACATTATTTGCTCGATAGTTAACAATTCTCCTAACAACAGTAAAAAAATAATTTTAGTATAATACTGTATAAGCTCATTATAAAATAGTAAAAACACAGAAGCTACATACAATACGATTTGATCGAGTCGCGAATCGGCGATACATGGACAAACCTTTGCGAGTTTATGTTGTACGCGTCTGATATGTATTTTATCATAAGTTTTTTTTGTAAAATTGGACCTAACGCAAATTTCCTCCTACTAATTACGAAGTCGGTACCAAGAGGGCTACCATTTGTAAATATTTAGTGTCCTGAAGAAATTTGGGCATACTGAACAAGAAAGTGGCGGAAAAGCCAGCCTTGTTTTCACACTAATATTATAAAGGCGAAAGTTTGTGAGTGTGTATGTTTGTTACTTCTTCACGACTAAACGGTTGGAGCGATTTTAATAAAATTTGGTGTGGAGTTAGCTGACACCCTGGATTAACACATAGGCTACGTTTTACTGCGGGAAAATATCTTATTCCCATGGGAAAATTGATGAAAATGAATTTTGTTTAAGTAGGTACATATTTTTTGGCATTAATGTCAAAGCTATTCTGATAGATTAATATTTCATACATATTTTAACGGGGCACAGCTAGTGAGTAATAAAACTGAACATTTTAATTTCCCTTCAAAATATTTCAATTTATTTTTGAAGTTATACTTCTTTAGGCGCGTTATGTAAAAATGATGAGAGTGAAATTTTAAGATGCGCGCGCATCACTGTAACACAAAAAATTAACAGCATGAAGTTGGTCGCTTTAGCGACCAACTTCATGCTGTTACTTTTGTGTTTACCGCACATTAAGAAAATCTACCAACAAAATAGAATCTCTATTTTGTGGATGCTAACGACTGCATTGTGAAGGCCTATCAAAAGAATTTATTAATCTGGAACAACGGAACCAAAGCGCGATTCAAGAGACTACAGCGCCATCTCTTGACCATAGGTGTAGTAGAACCAAAAACCACATCTTTATTTTTTGTAATAAAGTAACAAAAAGTATTTATTAATCTGGAACAACGGAACCAAAGCGCGATTCATAAGACTACAGCGCCATCTCTTGACCATTGGTGTAGTAGAACCAAAAACCACATCTTTATTTTTTGTAATAAAGTAACAGTTATAGGTATTCATATTTATAATATTTATCCACATGTTTCTAGTTTGTATATTCGGAATACGTGTTTGAGTTTCATACAAGTGCAAATCACATATGTTCTAATAAATTATATTCAGTAGCGATTTTAATTGAATATTTTGATTATTTATTTATTTTTTCAAATTAAAACTGAACTTTATTGACTGTGTCCTTTTCCAGACTTTTTATTAATTTATTGTAATTAATTATTTGCATGCAATTAAAAACTAATTTTAAACGATGCCAAAGAAGGATAACTTCTCACGCGCCTACATAAGTACACGCACCCATTTTTTTTATAATCTTATGTCCGTACAAATCACAAGGAATGGTTGCCCAACATCAGTAGGGCAGCGGAGCGGGCGCCAGACAAACATTTGCTCGGTCGTCACTCGAGCTCCGCCGAGATTGCAATATCCGCTGAAGCCTTCGATGTATAATTTGCTATTTGGATTGCTTGTCGGAACTGTCTTATAGGCTCACCGCACAGCTTCACAATCCTTTATTATACTTAATGGCAATGTATCGCGAGAATAATAATAATAATAAATAATAATAAATATTTCCAACACTCACACCAATTAGCCTAGCCCCAAAGTAAGCACTATAAGGCTTGTGTTATGGGATGCTAAGGTAACCGATAGAATACATATACTGTACACATATAAGTATATTTATATAGAAATACATATTAAACATCCATGACTGGAGTACAAATGCTCGTATTCATCACACAAACATCTGTCCCCACCGGGATTCGAACCCGAGACCTCTCGAGTCGGCGACACCATGAAACCTGGCGTACAAACCACTCGGCCACGGAGGTCGTCGTGGTAATAATATTATGAACCTACGTACCGAGACCTTCGCTTTAAGCTTTAAGCGATACTAATAAAAAAAGTTTGAAAGTGAACTCGGATTTTAGTAACTACCTTTTCTTACACAGATTGAACACGGTTACGGGTTCCCGGATTAGGAGTCAATCAAACAATCAATCAATACTTTATTGAGTTCTACAATGTTTTCTTTGATCTTAGTAGGTACATGGCTTTGATCATTGTAGACCCTGAACAGGGCACAGCAAATAGAGAAGAGGACGCATTCACTAATTGTAATTTAGTTAGTACGTATACAATAGGGATGATGACGGGGTACAGTAAACGAAATTCTATTTATTCCGTCAGTTAGTTTTCTCTTATAAGTGTACTCAAACGTGACGTCATGCGACTTTTCAAATCAATATATCTCTGCAATGTTTATATTATGTGAAAAAAGAAAAAATACGTGTCCAATACTTTTTGATAATCTACCTGATAAACGACGAAAAAAAATTAGTCATCATCCCTATTTACCAGCCAAATACGATATTTTTTTACCCAACAAATAAAAATATACTAATATCAACATTATTTATTCATTTTAGCTTAATATTATATTATTTGATTTATTTATTTAGTCATCCAAGACAAGACTAATTATTACCGCACAAGTTAAATATCCATTGTGTCGCACGTACAAATAGCGATACCTGCTTTGCAACAAAAAATATTACATTAGTTTAATATCGTCCGTAAAAGGCTATTCAGGATAGCGAACGACATTATTGATAAATCTGAAGTAACGCTAATGAAGTCACAACTGCGAATGTGCGCTGGACCGAGTTCAGGATATTAAAAACGCCATAGAATAATAATAGTTGGTTGTGGAGGCATTATCTCTGGTTTCATTGAGCGAGTTTGCAATTTCCGCCGCGTGCAATTCTCCATTGAGAGGCTTCTCGACCCCGCCGCCCCGCGTCGTCTGTCGGCCGCCGGGGGGGAGACTGGGCCAGGGTGGTAGGTACGACCGGGCCGTCTCAGATGTACTGCAGCATTTGCCCGGATAAAATATATTTCTTATATTTTTTTTATGTAAAATGAGTGACAAATAAACATAATGGCCAGTCTGACGGTAAGAGAGCACGATACTCATATGACCTTACGAGGATGATTGTAAGTGCAGCGCTGCAGCGTGGTGATGGCGACCGGAATAATGTTACCAATTCCTTACCTAATCATATGATACGTTAGGGTACGCTCCAATATACACAATCCTATTTTAATAAAAGTCAAAAATTGTTTCATATTAAACAAAATTTGAAATAGTACTCCAATTGCATAATTTATAGTGAAACCCTTTCATTACATTTCATCTTTAGCATGCTGCATTTCATCTTTACATATTTTTTATTAAAAATTTCAGACCTTACCAATAACCATCTGTGGGTCAGTGGTAGAAAGCACGCCTGCTTCATGAGCGTCCGGGGCATTCTCAACCGCGGAGGGTCATTTTTTTCATGATATTTTTTAATATAAGGGTTTCATAAAACCACACCAATTTCTTTTACTAAGGAATCACTAATATTGACTGTGGATACACAGTATAAATAAGCAATAAATAATTTTGATAGGGTCACAGAATAACACACACACACAAATCCAACAAGTGTCATGTTCTTCACTTGATATTGAACGTCGAAAAGATGATATCGCTCGGTTCCTGTGGCTGGTTAATGTAACAGAGCGGCCAATTTCTAAAAGTTATTTGAATCTTGACCTAGCGCCGAATCTCTTGAGAACATTCGAGATAAATAAGGGTACCACAAACGATCTGATAAGAGTTCGCAATATGTGTAAGGCTTATTTTATGTTACGGCAGTCAAGTAAGGAATAAATATTTATATTTTTTAAGCATTTGACTGCTAAATGTTTACATCTAAAGATCTTAAATAAAAATACTTCCCACACTCACACCAGTAAGCACAATAAGGCTTGTGTTATGAGATGCTAGGATAACGAATGGAATACATATAATTATATTTCCTAGAAATATATATAGACATCCATGACTAATGTACAAGTGCTCAAATTGAAAATAAGTACTAATGTTTTCTCCCACCAAGATTCAAACCTAGCACTTCTGAGTAGGCGACGCCATTAAACCCCGCGCGTACGGTGTGACCGTACATTTTTGCAAGTCCGCAGTTTAATTAGGTCGATGCAATTAACGTCATTTAAATGATTTTTATAGTATTACACTTTTTTACCTATATACAGGTGGTCAAAAAGTAGTGGATCCAACGAAACAGGGAGATAAAGGAGGTAATTTCTAACTAAAAACACAACGCATTTGTAACGCTTCAAAGTTTACGGAAAAAAAAAATTGCTCATTAAATTTCATATCAAGAGCTCCTATACAATTTCTGTAGTATTGATACATAATTCAGTCAATAAAACACATTTTGTTTTATTGTTTTTTAATCAATTTATTTTTATGTTTGTAAAAAAAACTCGGTAGTTTCATTTAAAAACAACTAAAATATTCATAACCTTTTCTGCAATGAAGTTATGGCCATGCTGGAGAAAGATTTTTTTTTTGATATTACCTCCTTTATCTCCCTGTTTCGTTTCATCCACGACTTTTTGACCACTCTGTTATAACATTCGGCTACGGAGATCGTCAAAAGTGATGCCACCCTTTTAACAAAAAAAATGTTGCATGGATAGGTAGTGCTACAATGACTATACAATATTGAATGTTATACTATCCGCGTCAGAGTACGGTCGGCCGCGCGACAGCGACTCGGAGTCGAGCGGGTCCCCGTGCGCCGCGTGCGCCGCCGAGCTCTACCGGCTGCCCCCCGGCGCCGCCGCCGCCGCGCATCTCGCAGGTACCTGTGTTTAGCTTTCATCAACTTTCACTGAAACTCCGAACACTAGTCTAGTTTCCGTTCTTAATTATATTATAAGTAAGATTTGATAATGCTCGTGTTCCGTGCGCAAATGTCCATAGTATCTACTAGCCAAGAATTATTATTATTTTCATAACAGGTTTTTTATCACTCATAATTTTTATCATTTCATCTAAATCTCTTAGAAATGATTTCTATGCCATATTATTCGTGTAAAATTTAAATGTATGATTTCATATAACTCACCTCTAAACCCTCACTGGGTTTCACTGGCGTTTTGCGAAATAAATTAAATCGCGTGAGTCAGGAAAGTCTTTTTTGCTCTTTCATAAGTTATGTTTCATACTAGGCATCTTTATATTAAATGGGGAAAATAATGTTGTTAGACACTCTACCAGCGGTAGAGTCGAGCGCAGAGGACACGTCGTACAGCGCTAGCGCAGCGCGGGTGGGTCGAGCGGCGCGGGGCGGGGTGGAGCGAGCCGAGCGAGCGGAGCGCGGGCGACAGCCGCGCGGCCGGCGGAGGCGCGACCACTCCAGGCATTCCTCTGCACCCACCGTCAGGTTTATATCTTCTACGCTCTTCAATATTTCTCACTTGACTCTGTATATATATATGTATATAGTAATAGACTTAAGACTAGTATTTTTAATGTTATTTTATCACAAAAAAAAATAGTTAAGTGTACTTCATCGAATCATGAAACAGCACTTTTTTCGTAAACAGTTATTTTTTTCTACTAAACTCACTATGTATTCGTTACCCTACAACCGGCACTTGGTGTTTTTCAGTATCTTTGTAGTAATTAATATTATACCGGCCATACACACTACGAGAAATCGTTACGATTAGACTGTACAGTCCGAACGGTACCGATAAATCGTAGCGTGTATGTTATAAAACTGCACAGTTTCCTATACTAAACCAAATCGTATAAACTGTTCCGTTCGAACTGTACAGTTTGATCGTAACGATTTCTCGTAGTGTGTATGGCCGGTATTAAAGCTGTCTTTTAATAGAACTTATGTTATCTTTTAAAATGGAAATAATTTAATTTGATTTTTAATATATGAAAATAACTTTTACTTATCATATTATCTATTTGAGTATAATTTTTTATTATTATCGATTTACATTAAAGCGATTTTTGTCTGTTTCCAATAAAGCCACCGTTTCTAAGAAGACGATAGGTCCGGGAGGATCTGTTGCTCCGGTAATATGTAGTACTAGTGTGAACTAGTACCCGCTCCCGACCCGAGCATGGCTTGCGGCTCCTGTAGGCCGGCGCCTCTAGTTGCATGATCGCATCTAACTAACGCATCGAGTCAAGCGAAAATAAAGAATGAGAAACAAATTTTGCCTGAATAATAATGAACTTAATTATGTCCACCCTACTTTTAAAGAAAAGAATATATCTATAATAGTCGCATGACGCATGCTAAGGATAAATTCAAAAAAATTAGCCAAAATATATTTCTGCAACCGTTACTGATACAGCAAAAAAAAAATGGATGCGTGTAACTTATGTACGCGCGTGAGAAGTTATACTTCTTTAGCATCATTAAAAATATTTTTTAATTGCATGCAAATAATTAATTAATACAATTAAAATCACTACTGAATTTAAGTTATTAGTCCATATGTAATTAGCACTTGTAAGTAACTAAAACACGTTGTGTCTGTAAAGAAACTAGAAACATGTGGATAAATATTATAAATATGAAAACAGTGATCAGAGGCGACGAGCGTGCCAACATTGTTTTTGACAACGCGATCATCTTATGGAGCTCCGTGGATCGTTCAAAGTACCTTTCGAACAGATGATTATTACACACTAACATTCATAACGCGCCCGCGGCCAACTTCATGGTGTTACTATTGTGTTACAGTGATGCGCGCGCATCTTAAAATTTCACTCTCATTATTTTTTCATAACGCGCCCGCGGCTAACTTCATTATGTTACTTTTGTGTTACAGTGATGCGCGCGCATCTTCAAATTTCGCTCTCATAATTTTTTCATAACGCGGCTAAAGAAGTATAACTTCAAAAAGCTCATTGCTCAATATGACATTACCATTTCAGATAAATTTGAAAAGTGAAAAAAATTACATTTTCGCTGCCAAAATAAATATCTTACTATAGAAATACAATTTGCAAACGCTCAACGGTTGCAGAAGGATTTTTGATTCTGCAGATGTAAGAAAGTCGCTTATTTTGATACCCGCAGTAGACTTGCGAAGGTCCACATGAGTCTACAATATATCTAATAATTCCCGGGCGATTTTGCTGCCCACGGCAACCGCAATATTGACAAAGGTGTAACAGCTGATAACTTGCAGGTACTTTGCATCGGGGCAGCCACGCCAAGAAGTGCTGTGAGCCAACCGAGCGATGCGAGCGGTCATAGCGCTAGCGGCTCTTCAAGCGCTGCTAGCGTCACCATTGTAAATATTCATGTGTTGTGTAACTTTATAAGCGATCCCTTTGTTGTTCTGATCTGACTGAACTAGTCTTATTTATTAAAGAAATCAGTTTTCATTAATTGTTTTATTTCCAATTCCTTTGGTTTCAAAAACACCTTTACACTTTGCAGAAACTAGCAAGGCACAAAAATATAGTTGCTGTATCTCTTAAATTTATCAGCTTATTTAATTTCCCAACTGTCAAAGCATGGGGCATGACCCACCGCGTGGATTTGGTACATATTGGAGGGTGCTAACGATTGCAGGTGCAACCGGGACTAACAGCTAAGCGTATGTTCCGAAGTACAAATGATCTCGAAAAAATATTTTTTTTTTTTATCCGTAATCATACGAAATCTTTTGTTCTTCTTTTATCGTAGGCCACGCATACTAACCACTATTACAATTTTGATCTGTATGACTTAATTTTTAATAATTATCATATTATAGATATTAACGGGATTGTTACCATGTACCTTGTTTTTTATGAGTCTCCGATATTTCGGCACTGTTGCAAGCGCCATGATCACGGAGTAACTCCGTAATATCGGAGACTCATAAAAAACAAGGTACATGGTAACAATCCCGTTAATATCTATAATGTTAGTGACCATGAAAGTTTAAAACAATATATAATTATCATATTTTAATTAAAAACAAAATTGATAAAAATTAGAAAATATTTTTTTTCATAGCCAGGTAGGCAAATGACTCTACCCCACCTGATGTTAAGTGATGATAAATCCGACGCGATATATAATATGTGTATATATGGCTGAGTGATAGCGCAGGTGATTATCGTTTTGGGCTTGCGATCGTGGAGGTTAAGCAACTTTGGCAATGGTCGGTCATTGGATGAGTGACCAAAAACTTATCATCTCGAACTCCTCCGTCGTTCGGAAGATGTTAAACCGTTGGACCCGGCTGCATCTGTAGTCGTTAGCAACCAACAGTCCGCACTGCGCCTCCGGGGGCGGGTCACGGCCTAATCTTCCTATTCTATCCATAGGGAAGGCTTGTGCCCCATCAGTGGGCCATCCAGCGCCGAGCAGCTCGAATCGTCGACGACCAGGACCTTTCCGATCAGCTTGATCCTTTGGCTTTGCGTAGGGATATAGCTTCGCTCTGCATCTTCTATCGCATTTATCACGGGGAGTGTTCTGAGGAATTGTTCGGATTAATTCCAGCTGCTGCATTTCGCTATCGTACAGCGCGACTAAAATTTCATCCCCATCATCTTGATGCGTGGCTATCCACAACCGTGCGTTTTTGTCGAAATTTTTTAAGACGTACGACAAAACTGTGGAATAAGTTGTCGCCAGCAGTGTTTCCGGACCGATACGACCCAAAAACCTTCAAAAAAAGAGCGTACTCCTTCCTTAAAGGCCGGCATCGCATTTGTGATACTCCTGGTGTTGCAAGTGTCCATGGGCGACGGTGATCACTTACCATCAGGTGAGCCGTCTGCTCGTATGCCCCCTATAACATAAAAAAAGTGGGGACATTAATAGACGGATTATGATGAGAAAAATATATCAATTTTTAACTAAGCTCTATGTTTGATGCTTAACTTTTCCATTTAAACCTTATTCAAAAAGGTAAGATGATTTATGATCTTCATAACAAAGTGTACATTTTTGAGCTTCAGCTTTTTATACGTACATATTCTGTACAGTGTAATCAGGAAGTAGATATACAAAAGCGTGAGATCAGATAATAAAAACACGACTTCAAAAGGCAGTTCATTTAAACCCTCCCCCAAAATAAAATAAAATTAGACGGCCGGCGGCAACGAAACCTCACTTCAGAGACTCATTCATGGCTAATAAAAAACATCGTTGTAATATACCTATATAAAGTAACCTAACAGAGTTCCTCATTTCAGTGTTTTTCTTTATCGATTCACCTTAATTCCTTTTTCCAGACGTCGTTATTCACTGCGATAATATCTTAATGCCCTATAAATAGGAATTAGAGTAATTATTAGACTGGGGACGTCGTCCCGAGCGCGCGCTTTGCAAATTCGCCTAGTTCGGCGGGTTTAGAGTTATCGCAGCGCGTGCAATCACGCACGCTGGCGATAAATCCAGCCCGCCCCGTTGCCGCTTAAGGGAAGAGATGGAAAAAACGGCTTATTTCTTAAAAGCGTTTAAACGTTGTACTTTTTAAAATAAGCGCGCTTGAAAAAAAGCTTTTTCGTTTAAACGCTTATTGGCTTAAACGTTTAAAAGCATGCGTAAAAAGCGCGACGTTGTGTTGTGTTTTCGTTTAGGTATATCGTTTAAAAAAGCGTGAAAAGTTTATTGTCGTTTTTAATGAGTATAAGTGATTTATTGCGTTTTTTCTTCTTATTAATGAAATTTTTATTAAAAAGTTTTTTTATACCTAATGAATTGATTGGTATTAAAAACGAAAGATTTTATAATAAACATTTTTATAATAGTCAATGAACTTTCCTTCGTACTTTACAAGCTTAGGACTGTCTGGAGTTAATATACTCGTGATCCAGGCGTACTTAAAAGTTCATTGATTTTATATACATACTTTTAACTATTTTATATGCACATTAAACCAATACACAAAACGCATTAACACAAGCAAGCATGTAAACACACCGTACAACACCCACGCGCTCTTACCCCGTCACAGTGACAAGCGTACTGCTTTTCGACTTCGTTTAATTAAACGCTTTTAACGAAAAAAGCGTTTAAAAAAGTGCATTTTTTACGTCGCATTATAATAATTCGCATGCTGTATTAACCGGCTCACGAAAGATGGCACGCCGACGCGGCGCTGTAGTCGCGCGTTCTATGTCTGTGATATTGTGAAATATTTAGCTCCAAGGAATTCCGCGTACCCATTTTTCGATACTGTAGTGGACTAGAAGGATCGAAGTATGTAGTTTTCTGGCAAAGACATAGATGGCGGGATTTGCACTTTTTAAGTAAAAAATATACTTGCACTTTTTTAAGTGAAAAGCTTACTCACACTTTTTAAGTGAAAAGCTTAAAATTCAAAATTCAATTCAAAATTCAATATCATTTATTCAGTCTAGGCTGTTACAAGCACTTGTGAATGTCGAAAAGCTACGCCATCGGTT